TTTACATGAATACTGGAATTGAACAATTAAGTAAATGATTGCAGTGGTAGAAACCAGGTTTCTCACTGTTGAATTAGAATGTCACAGATCAGCAAGGGAAGGTGCCTAAAATAATCTATATACAATAGATTCAAATTGTGAGATATCAAAAAGAACTTTTGCTTTACTTAATATAGTTACTGAGGGTCAGGGATATACTCAGAGGTAGAGTATTTGTCGCACATGCATAAGTTTTTAGGTTTAATTCTGATACCACAAAGAAATACCCATGTATAACATTATGAGGAGAGTCAGGAATAAGCCCTGAGCACCATAGGGGGTTAAGTCTAAAAACAAAAAGATAAGTAATTTTACAATAGAGAAACTAACAAGCACTAATTTAGCTAGGTGATCAAACTCAGTAGTAAGTAATAAACTGCATTAATAATGTGTACCCTTAATATGATGAAGATGGCACTTTATCACCATCTTCCACAAGAAAACCTTTAATCACAAGGTATCAGACAAATTCCAACAATGACATCTACAATATACTTGATCATTATACCCCTAAAATTTTTAGAGTGTTTAAATTTTTTTTATATTGGAAGGGGAAATTTGTCCCTGTTGACACACATTTGAAACCCTATCATCCCACCCAATTTTCTTAGTTAAAAACTTCAAAGTTGGTGTGTTTCCTTCCGGTTGGAGAAAGAGTACCAGGAATAGACAATTACCTGTGGTAAACTCAAGTTCAATCCCTGGCGACACATGGTCTTCTGATCACCCATGAACACCACCAGGTATGGCCTCCAAACCAGACCAATTTGTATGTTAAAATACTGTTCACATCTTTTGGGTTTTGGCCATACTTGCTTATCTGTCCTTGAGGACTACTCCCAGAAATGCTCATGGGACCATGTGGTGTGTACCGAACTCAGGACTCCAGTGTGAAAGAATGCACTCCAGCCCCATAAGTCATTTCCCCAGCCCTGTCCACATTCAAAGACACACAGTCAACTGGTTACATACTTATGTTCAACGCTCTATCACATAGAGAAGAAAACAATCGTTTTGGTCAATTTTGTCCAACAACATTTTAGACTACTTTGTTTCAAGAATTATTTGAGGCTCTGAGATAACCTCACAGGGAAAAAAAAATCAACATTCTTCTTTGACTTCTGAGGAAATTAGACAATATACAAGTAAATAAGTGACTTGTCAGATAGCAATAAACATTCTTTAAGCAAACAGAAAAGGAAAGTGAGTTAGATGTGACCTAAAAGACTACATTAATTAAGAGCTTAGAAAAAGCCTCTTTAAGGAGATGACATTTGAGTTGAAACCTGATGGAGTTTGTACACAAAGACAGGCTTGAGGTAGGGCTAGAGTAGAGTGGGAAGTTCCCAGCAGAGAACAAACACAAAGGCCAGAACAAGTAAGCTAAATGTTTCTGAGATATATTAAGCAGACAGTGCAACTGGCCTAACAGAAACGAGCTAAGCAATATTCTGAGATTTAAGAATCCCAAACCAAGAGCCTGAGAGATAGTACTGCACGTAAAGCAATTGCCTTGCAAGCAACCCACTCAGATTCAATTCCTACCATCCCATATGGTCCTCTGAGCCCTGCCAAGAGTAATTCCCAAACACATGCAGTGTGGCCCCCCAAATAAAGAAACTCCTCAAATCTCTACGCTACCAGGAATCAATCAAATGTAATAACATTAAGATCTTACTTTCTTTCTTCTTGTTTGCCCATTCAAAGGGTCCATCTCCTACACTATAAATATTGTTTTGAACTGTCCCATGTTTTCTCTTTAAAAACCACAGCTATAATTCATATTTTATTATGTCTTTGACAGGAAATATTTGGGGGAAAAAGATATTATGGGGTCATGGAAACAATTCAAGCGGTAAGAGTGCGTACCAAGCATTTTGTATGAGGTCCTAAGTTTGTTTCCTGGAGCCAACCAACACCAAACCAAAAATAAATAAATAAATAAGTAAAATCAGTGACACTACCAGAAAATGGTCCTGAGTTCTTCCTAACAGATTCCATTACTTCATACAGCTCAATCAAACATTAGAATAAGGGTCAGAGAGACAGCTCGGAGGCCTGGACCTCATGCTTTGCACGCAGAAGGCCCAGGTTTGATTCTTAGCATCACAGGGTCCTCCAAGTACCAAGTGAGGAGAAGCCCCCAATAATGAAAATTTAAAAATAAGTAGCAAAATCTCTGGACACAAATTAACTTGGGCTTAAATCTATCAGTTGTATGATTTTTAGCATCTTTCTTAAAGAATGACTCTACATACTGTAAACAATTGTGTTTTCAATAAACAATAGCTAATGCTAATAAAACTATTTGGACCTTTATTTTGTTTGAGAGATCTGCTTGAGTGATTAAAAAAAAAAACAAGTTGCAAAATGTCAAACTTCCTTTGATTAGAGGATCTTTTTCAGAGATTCAGCAGCCAGTTCCAGAATCTAGAACAATGTTTAACACAGAGAGGCATCAATCCCAAGCTGGTCAAATGAATGTGAAAGAGGCTCCATGAAGGCAAAGGATCCAAGGAGAACTTGGCTTTACTCTAACAGGAATAAAAGTTTTCCTTCCCCATCAAAAATTAACAATATTCCAAGGTATCGTTAAAGCTGTTTATGGTTTTTATTTTTTGGGGGGTCACACCCAGCAATGCTAAGGGGTTATTTCTGGTTCTGGGGGGTGGGGGAGAGACCATATGGGTGCCAGGGATAGACCCCTGATCAGCCACAGGCAAGGCAAATGTCCTACCCACTGTACCATTGCTCTAGCCTGTTTATGGTTTTTAATAGCCTCTTTCAAGCTACAAGTGTTCATAACCTCAAGGTACACTTAAAAAGTCTCTTTACTCAGGTAGTGGCAAGGAAAAGTACTCCCAGTCAAGATACTTTATGTCTTATTACTTTTCTGGGGGAGGGGGAAGGGGGTTGGGGGCCACATCCAGCAGTGCTCAGCGCTTAACTCCTGGTTCTATGCTCTGTAATCACAGTAAAGTGCGAGGTTTCAGCTCTACCTGCTATCTAATCTCTTAGGCAAGTTACTACTTTTTGTTTCTGGGCCACATGGGGTTATTCTTGGTCCTGCACTCAGGGACCACTCCTGATGGGCTCAGGAAACCATATGGGATGCCGGTGATAGAACAAGGATCACCTGCATGCAAGGCAAGCACCTTACCCACTGTACTACCTTCCTCCCATACTACTTTTAAAGTTTTTTATTTACATTGTTCTTTTTTTTTGGGGGGGGGGGGAAAGGACCCGCGGGCAAAACGATGCCCAGAGGCTCAGTGGTTACTCCTGGCGGCCCTTGGGGGATCACATGGGATGCTGGGGATTGAATCCGGGGTCACCACATACAGGGCAAAGGCACTACTCACTGTGCTAACTCTCCAGTGCAACTACTTTTAAAGTTTTGATCACTTTGTATCAACCACTAAAGCCTTCTGTAACCGGCAGCTCCCTTTTCAACAGCAGAGTTTCAACAGCAGTAAATCTAATTCAGACAGCTGTGCCTAATTTTTCCCTCTGGAGTTTACCAACGAGGTTTAATCCCCACGAACGGAACTGATTCCGCTTTTCTCTAGATCACAAAAATTATCGTACAATTTATGAGCGAGGCAGAGAGCTGTCACTTGTCCAGTCGCTCACGAAAAGCACACACCCTTTCTGACTTCTTGAAAGTTTCCCAAGAACAGTTAGCTTAATTCACACCGGCTCTTTGGGTCAAAGAAGGACTTTGGAGGGTGATGGAGAAAAGGCGTTGTTCACCTCTCGAGGAGGGGGGGGGGGGGGAAAGAAAGAAAGCGTTTTCCAATTACTGTAATTATGCACAAAAGCAGCCCGGCAGGATTTCTGGGCCAAGATTCTGTGCCTCGGCTCCCACGAGAATTAAATCCAGAGCCGTGCATAAATTAGGGGCAAGTTCTGCAGAGAACCCGCTTCACCCTCTTACTGACGCTGCATGAGATCCATAATAAATAAACAAATAAAGAAAAATTTTTAAAAATATCGAATCATCAACACGCATATATATTTTTTTTCCCCTCAACTCGCCGGGGCCGCTCCGGCCACATCGCTTCTTTATCCTTCTCTGCTCCAAGAAACAAACCCGGGAAGCGTTGGGATGCCGGCGCGGTAGGGGCGGACCCGCGGTGGAGGCCCGGCTGCCTGGACGCGCAGCCAAGCGGGCAGCAAAGGGCTGGAAAGGAGACTCGGGCTGGCCGCGCCGCTCCGCCTTTCAAGTCCTCAGGCCTGCTCGGACCTATTGTGGTGCCCCCCAAACCTCCGGGGCCGGAACGGTACGCTACTGACCCCTTTTGCAGAGAGCGAGCCGGGCTCCAGGGCGGAGCTCACCGGAGCCGAAGGATTTGAAAAGGATCCGCAATTTAAAAAAAAAAACAAAAAAAAAACAATAAAAACGGGTGGCGGGACCTCAGGTGCCGCGGACAGGCCCTGGTCCCCAGCGTGCCGGACGGTCCCCTCTTCGGGGGGGCGGGGGGGGGCACCAGGCCCTTCCCCACCGCGCTGCGCTCCGACGGTCTCCACCACACTCATTCATTCATTCATTTCGCCGTCACGTGAGGGGGCTGGCAGGGTGGCAGGGCCGGCTCGCCGGGCACCCGCCGCGCCCCGGAACAACCCTCAGCCGCGCGGCTCCGCGCTGCCCCGCGCCCGGTCTTCCCCCCGGGGACTGAGGCCGCCCGTCCGCCCGCCGCGGCGCGCCCCAGGTTTCCCCCCGCCCCCCTGGATCCCCGCGCGGGTCTCGGCCGCCGCACAACCAGCGCCCACGCCCCCCCACTCCCGCGGCGGCCCGGGCCTCCGCCCCGCTTCACCTCCTCAGACGCGCCGGGGTCTCGAGGCGAAGGAGGCGCGCGCCCGCGAACGGCCCCGCCCCGCCCGGGCTTCAGGACCCTTCGGCGCCGCGAGAACGTCCGGATCCGCCGGGCCAGAGCGGGTGCCTCGGGCCCGCTACCCACTCACCTCCGCCGGGTCAGAACCGAGGGGCCTGCTCTAAAGCCGTTTGAAACCGCTTGGGCCGCCGCACACCCCGCAGTGTCCTCGCTGCCTATTGGTCCCGGACGCACCGCCCCCTGCCCGCCGATTGGTCCGTTTGAAAGGCGAGTGGGCACGCGCCGGCCGCAGCCTTAAAGGGGCCGTACGCAGCCATGTTTAAATCTCCGGAGCCGGCGTCCTGGGCGCTCTCTGGGGGTGGTGAGCGTCTCGGGGAGAGTAGGGGCTTTTTGAAAAGGTGTGCGGAGACCCGTGCGTCCGCAGCCGTCGGCCTGGGTCGCCTACGGGGTAGTGGGGCGGCTGTCATCGCCTGGCAAATTTGAAAAGCCATTTCGTTTCCCAAAAACGGCGGAGGGCGTGCGGGAGAGGAGGGCGGGGTGTGCTCGGTTGGAAGGCGCCGTGCAGGGAGCCCGGACCACGGCCAGCTGCTGCTAATCCGAACCAGCCGCTTTCCTCCACCTGGAGCGCGGCTTCCTCGCCGGCCCAGCAAGAGAATAACGTTGCATTCGCTGGGCGTGGGGCATTCGCTGAATAGGATTGCTGACCGCCCCCCTCCATCCCCAATCCCCCGCCCCGCGCGCGCTGTCCACGCCCGCCCCGCCTGTCATTCGGGAACCGCCAGCCGCACAGGCGTGGTTCAGCGAGTCTCGAAACTGCGTCTCCATCCATCCACTGGGCGATCCGTGCTCCCGTGAATAACCAGCCTTAGGTCCTTAACCGCTCGGACCGTGCGGACCGGTGGTCAGAGGGAGAAATGCACAGATTTCTTCCCTAAAGCGCCAAGACTTGGGAGAAGTCGGGAAAGAAAAGCTTCCCGATGCCAAGAGAAGGGGAATTCGCTGAGTATGAATGGGATGGGGCTGGAGTTCTATTTTTATTTTTGGTTGGTTGGTTGGACCGCACCCGGATGGGATGTGCTCAGCGCTTCCCCGTGGCTTTGTGTTCAGGCATCGCTCCTGGTGCCGGGCATAGAACCAGAGGATGCTGCGCGCAGGGTCGTCTGCGTGTCTTAACCACTCTGCTACTTCTCCAGCACCCACTTTCCCACCTTTTTTCAGGTCTCATATTTCATATTTCCATCAAGAAACAACGCTTCTTGCTTTTGTTTCTTTTCTTTTCGGTATTTGGGACACATTCAACTGTGTCCAGGTCTTATTTCTAGCATCGTTCTCAGAGATCTTGCCTGGTGGGACTTGAAGGACCAATTGTGGTGCCCGGGATCAAACCTGGGTCAGAAGCATGCAAGGCGAGTGTGCCTTTCTTCTGTCCTAGTCTTCCACCAAGCGTTGGACTTTTACACTGGGATCTGAAGGATATATAATTGCCAGTAAGTTAAAAACAAAAATAAAACGGGAGACAGTAGGTGGGATCGGAGAGATAGTACAGAGGGTGGGGCATTTGCCTTGCACGCTGCAGACATGGGTTCCGTCCCTGGCACCCCATATGGTGCCTGAGCACAGCTAGACGTGATCTCTGAGCACAGAGCCAGGAGTATGCCCTGAGCACCGCTATAGGTGTGGCCTCCTCAAAAAAGAGTAAAACAACAACAACAAAAATTTTTTTTAATGGGGAGGGGATAGGTAAAAGAGAAACCCACATTTTTTTAAATAATTTATTTATTTGTTGAATCACTGTGGGGAAAGTTACAAAGCTTTCAGGTTTAGGTCTCGGTCATGCAAATATCAAACACATTTCCCTTTACCAATACTTATTTTTCACCATGAAGAACCCCAGTAAACCCCCACCCCCCACCCCTCCCAATGCCTGTGAGGCAGATGAATTCTAGTTAACACTCTATCTACTTTGACTAGGTCATTGTTTCGATAAAAGATGCACCATTATTATTTAGAGTTTACCCCCCCAAATCAGACATGCTAAAAAAGCATTGTGAAATGATTTCCTTTCTACAGCTGGGTTCAAGAATTAAATGATGTCGGCTGTGTGGTTTTGGATTTCTGCTATTTTACTTATTAACCCTGGAAGTATTTCTACTGAAAGTCAGATAATTAAGAGATTGGTTTCTGTGCTCTGGAGCCATGGCCGTGCCGGAGAGCCGCTAGTGGGGGGCAACTGGTGACCTGGGTAGGGCGTGAAGGACGAGCCAGGAACACCCCCTTCCTATGAGGTTTTAGTCACCCGCTCATACCTGGCTTTCCACAAGGCTCCCAAGCGGCTGCCATCTTTCTTTCCAGAGGGGAGAAGGCGGAAGGGACTAACACCCTTTCCCCTCAGGGCAGACATGGTGGTGTGGATTAACGCATAGTCTGTTCACTTTTCTGCTCCAAACTGCTGGGCTCTGCATTAAGTCCTTGTGCTTCTGGAACCATGGCCGTGCCAGAGAGCCGCTCGTGGGGGGCAACTGGTGACCTCGGTAGGGCATGAAGGACGAGCCAGGAATGCCCCCCTTCCCATGAGGAAACCCACTTTTTAAAGAAATCAAATTGGCCAAGGTGAAAAACTTCTCATGGTTGGCAAAAAATTTGATAAAAAGGTAAACACACACGTTAAGTAAGCACATAAGTTACATGCTTTCATGAGGACAATTGAGCAGTTTTTTAAATGTAAAATGTAGGGAGACCAAAGCAGCAAACTCTGACTTGATCCCATTCACCACATATGGTCTCCTAGAACTTCCAGAACAGAAGTGACCTTTGAGCTTAGAACCGAGAATAAGCCCTAAGTGTGTGGAGTACTGGAGGTGTGGCCCAAACACCTGCCCCTCCCTATATAGTAATAATAAAATAGTAATTTATTATTATTGAAAAATAAAATAGAAGGTAAAATGTATATAATCTCCAGCCTAGTAATAATTAATATCACTGGGGCTTGAACAATAGTACAGCGGGTAGGGTGCTGGGATTCTAGGAGGCTATTCAACAGAGGGACTTGGTGGGAAGAGAAAGGAATTATTTTTTACTTTTCACATGCTGATTTTCCTTTTTATTGAGAAAAGCTGTAGCAAGGACACTGCCTAGAATGGGCATCATTGATAAGGGTCTGACTGTAGTTTTGATTTTTCTAACAGGGTTGATGTTGAGAGGCCCTAAGGAATGTGTATCTATTATTAAGTAGGAATGTGGAGACTATCAAAGGGTTCTGAGCAAAACCAGGATTGCATTTTACTTAATTTAGTTTTAGGCTTGGGAGTCAGAGTCAGCAGTGCTAAGGGACCATATGAAGCTTGCACTTAGCTTACTGAGCTCTCTTCAGGCCCAGAATTGCATTTAGGAACACTAATTAGTTTGACTGTATAAAGTGGGTTAGAGTTGGGAACCTACTAAGTACCTGCCTGACATGAGTGGTGGAAATGCTGAGAATGGAGTAGATTTGGGGACATATTAGAATTGGTGCAAGGGTGGGGCCCAGTTAGGAAGAAAAGTCATAGAGTGTCACTTGAGCTTAGGGACTAGGAAGTGGTGATTGCCCAAGTGGAAGTAGAAAGTCCAGAGAAACCAGTCTGGAAGGCATAGTGTTTTGTAAACTTCTTTTTATAGGGGCCACTCCTGGTAAGTGCCACAGGGCTACACCCAGAATTACTTTGGGGGGTCTTATACATGAAATACATGTGTTTTATCCCCTAAGCTTCTTCCTGGCTGAGGCTGAGTGTGCTTTAGACCTATTATTTTTTTCAATTTTTATTTTACTTTATTTTGGACTGGGATCAATACCCAGTTGTGTACAGGAGCTGTTCCTGGCAGTATTTGGGAACCATATGCAGTGCTGGGGATTGATACTGGTTCAGCTGTCTGCAAGGCAAGTGCCTTAAGCTGGTAGTATCTCTCCAGCCCTAGGCATACTTGGTCAAGGTCACGGTCCTCCTGTTGTTCATCGATTTGCTCGAGCAGGCCCAGTAACGTCTCCATCATGAGACTTCTTGTTACTGTGTTTGGCATATCGAATACGTCACGGGTAGCTTGCCAGGCTCTGCTGTGCGGGTGAGATACTCTTGGTAACTTGCCGGGCTCTCCGAGAGGGGCAGAGGAATCGAACTCAGGTCGGCCATGTTGGCTGCTTGTAAGGCAAACGCCCTACCGCTGTGCTATATTTTTAGATAACAATGGGGCGAAGCCTTCAGGGTCAGGTGAATGAGACCCATTGTAGTTACTGGTTTTGGCATACCGAACACACAGCGGATAGCTTGCCAGGCTCTGCCGTGTGGGCGGAATACTCTCGGTAGAATGCCAGTCTTTCCAAGAGGGATAGAGGCTTTTGGGGTGACCTCTAATTGCCCTGATAGGTGTTACCATATTTGAACCCTATCAAATATGGTACGACAATTCCGGAAGATGGGTATTTAGTGTCTTATGATGTGTCGGTCCAGAAAGCGTCCTGGAGCATGGCGGCGGCTGGGTAGTGGAGGTAATGTCAGAAATGGAGGTCTGCCAGTGGGGTATTTATCTGGTCCTGGTAGGGGCAGGGTGGGTCTTCTGTGCGCAATCCGATTCCTTGGTCTCTGGTGGTTGGTGGAAGCAGACAGGGCAGGGTAGGGTGGGGCTCCCGATTATAATCCCTTTGTCACCTGTGGTTGGTGGGAGCAAGCAGAGAATCTCTGTCCCTGGGTCCGTTGAGCCTGGAGTCCAAGGTCTCAGAGGGTTCCGCTTATCTTGTTCTGTGGGTCTTCAGTCGTGCGTGAGTCTCGGCCGGTGCTGCCACGCAGGTCCGGAAAGTGTCCTGGAGTGTGGCGGCGGCTGGATAGTGGAGGTAGTGTCAGTAGACAATATTTATGAGAAACAGCCTCGTTCCTGACACCCCATTCGCTCTCAACGGAACAACCATCTCCAAATGCAACAGCTACGTGTACCTAGGTCGAGAAGTTAACATGACAAATGACCTGGCACCTGAGCTGCGCAGGAGGAAGAGAGTGGCTTGAAACACCTTCAAGAGCGTCGAAGAAATAGCTAAGAGGACGAAGAACCTCCGGCTCCGGGCACATCTCTTTGGTTCCACTGTTCTTCCTGCATTAACATATGCCTCAGAGACCTGGGCCCTACATAAACAGGATGAGAATGCTATTCAGGTCTCCCAAAGAAGAA